ATGGACCAAGATATCGGTGCATCTCTGACAATTTGTGGTGGTGTTGCTAGTAATTCGGGGAAAGTAGAGTTGTTTTTGAGCCTTCTCCAGAGTAAGTATCATCTAATCCTGCCCAAGTACTGAGCACCTCATTTCCCATGTGAGCTCTGGGCTCAACATTTCATAGATTGGGGTTTTTCTCTTAGGAAGGCACATGCATACAGCCACATAGTTGAGAAGAAGGCAAAGGGGTTACAGAAAGCATGCAGCAAAATATGCATTTTCTCCCTTGTTAGTGTGTCTGGCTTGGGGGTACTGAATTATTTCTTTTCTGCTTCTGCCCATGGGTTCATTCTCTGTGCAGTGTATGCACCTGGGTTTTCAGATTTGGCCCCAGATAGAAACCTAGTATCTGAACCATAGCAAAGAGGACCTGAGATGTATGTACTGTGAGCATATTTCAGGCCAAGTGTCACAACTTTTTGAAAGCTGCTAACCCACACCCTTTCCTTGTTGTCTAGAAATGCACTCTCACGCTGGAATGTGGACAGTTGGATACTACAGATTGCCTTTCAACAGTGGAGCTTAGTCTAGAGCTCTGCTTGTGTGGTGTTGGTGAGGGGTGGAGACCCAGGAGAGCTGTGTTAACATAAAAATGTTGGGGCCAAACTGTCTCAAGGATCCCAGCCCAGCTTATGTGTTAACGCTTGTAATTTTGCATGCCCTGGCAAAAACCAACTGTGCACAGAACTTCTGAGGGCATACAGTTTTGTGTTCTTGCTGTTTTGTTCTTTAACACTTTTTTTTTTTCAGTGACTTTTTTTAAATTTTGTTTTATATGCTGCCGTCACGATGAATGCATTAGAACAGAAGCTGGGAGAAATTGTAGGGTGGAGCATTAGCTTCCAGTTACCCTGTAGCCAGGTGGGAGAGCCACTTCAGTATCAGACTGCTTGTTTTATAAGGGAGATGTAGAGAGAAGAATATGTAGATTTAAGAGACGAGCTGATCCTTGCCCTAGAGGGGAGGAGAGCACCTGTTTAATTCCTTATGCAGCTTGTGACCAGACAAGCAGTTATACATTGTGTGTCTCTGCATTAGGTAATGGATTAGAACTGAATCTCTGGGCTGGATCTAAATTTCTGGACCAGAATTGGCCTTAATGAGTAGGCTCGTAGCTGGTTTCCAGTCTAAACTGGGCTTGTTTCCTGGATTTGAGTTGGAGTCTCCCAAGCTTGTGAGATTCCAGGAGGGCTGGGACTGAGTTTCCACACCAGCCCAATTAATTTTTGATGTTAGTATTAAAACAACAGTACTTGATCTAGCAAAATTCTACCAGATTTTTTATTAAGCTACACAAATGAAAGCAACTGGAGACCTGGGGCTCAAAGTCTATAATGTTGTTGCTAGAAGGCATTGTTAAGGCAGGGGTGTCAATGCACGGCCCATCATCTGGTCCCTGGTGCTCTCCCTGAGTGTGGACTCGCACTCTACACATGCTGGACCAACCCCCCACACAGGACCCCACATGCGCACCACATGGTGCCCTCTTCAGCTGGCCCAGAACCCATGCTGCACCCTCTCCGGCCAGTCCAAGACATGAACCACATATGGCAGCAGATCCAGGACCCCCACTGCATGTGGCACTTGCCCTGACAGGTCTATGGCAGGTACCACATGCAGCCCAGGCCCTGGAGCAGGTGCCACATGCTGCTTGTGTCCAGGCCAGTGCCACACGGGTTCTGTGTGCAGCATACTCCCAGACCATCCAAAGCAGGTGCAATGTGCGCTGGGTCCAGCATGCAGGGTGGAGGACAGTACATGGACCCAGTCTGCCCCATGGGGCAGGCCTTACACCATTCGTTTAGCTTGTGGACCAGCATTGCCCCACTCATCTGACACAGGACACCTCTACTATATGATCATTGGTCGATGCAGGAGACTTAGGTTTGGGGTGCCCTCTAGATTTGCTACATCAGCAGGGATGCTTTCAAGCTATGCCCTCCTGGTAGGTGCCCTATGATATTTTATGCAGCCCCACGTTTTGCTAATGAGTACCAAAGTGAGGTGGTAGTTAAGGTGGCTGTGGAAGATTGCAGTGCCTAGCTTCTAACCCACCATGATCTCACGGATGCTTACAGAGGAAGAAATGAAGGGTTGGCCAGGTAATTCTGCTTGGATGTGCTTCTCATAGCCCTTGGCATGCTAAATAGGGAGTCAGGTGAGGGGGAAAGGATCCCCTGTTTTAATGGCAGAATGAATAAATCACTGAAAAATCCTAACTAGCAAGCAGAAAAAGATGGGTACAGTGAGATAGGAGGAGAGCTCCTCAGAAACCCATGCTGCTTGGTATACTGTAGGTATCGGACGGTGTCCTACGTAGTCAGGGTCTACAGTGAGGGCAAACTGGTGGGACTCGTACAAACCAGTGAATCTTTGGTGCCCAACTTGTTTCTCAAAGCTTAGTAAGACAGTCCCTGTTGCCAGACAGAATCCTGCCGCTGCTTTCTCTGATGGCTCTTCTCCAGCCGTAGCTGTGATCAAGTGACTAACTGGGCATTTCAGAAAGCTTTGCGCCAGCCAATCCTTTTTTTCAAAAAGGTGGTTGAGGCACCTGGAGCCCAAGTCTCCTCATCAGGAGAAGGCTTTTGAAAGCAAGGCTTTTGCAGTCTCAGTTCTGGGTGCCCAGTAAAATGTATTGGGCCACTGACTTCTCAGCCAGTCTCTGCCACGGTAGATCTCTTGTGCTCCCCAGTTCTCTCGTATATGAAATAGCGGCCTCCTTGCAAAATCCAGCTGTAGTAGTCGGCAAAAAGAGCTCTTGTATTTATAAATTCTGATTTCTTCCATCCTGAGTTGGCCAGGTAATTAGCAGGGGGATTGCTAAACTCCTCTTTGAAACACAGCCACTCTTAGGATGAGATGCATCTGCTCTTCAGCAGTGTGCAGCAGGTTGGGACAGAAAGTAAAGAATACACCATCCAGCTTAAATGACAAAAAAAAAAAATAATGCTTGGGAGTGTGAATTGATTGAGTAGGCAGCAGGCATGGCCCTACAAGGCTCCTTTACAAGCTTAAACCCTCATTTGTAATAAAAAGCCCTTCAATAATTTATGCAAGTGGAGCCTGGCCTTGGTAGCCTATGGAGCATTATGTCTGCTTTCTTCCTAGAGGGAGCCTCCATGTTTTCCAAGGGAGATTAGCACTGGGTAATGCTAGGCAGCTCTCATCAGCCCTCTTTTGTCTGGGATGCTGGCTGGATAGATCATTCACTGAAAGTGAAACATAAAGGTCAGCAGGACTGAAAATAATGCAAGTCACTGCCCATCGTTGAATAGCTGCTGGGGTGGGGGGCTTGTTGACACAGTAAGTGCTGAAAAATATTACTTTTTGGAAGAAGCCAGAATTAATGTTTTGTGTTTTTCCAACAAACACTCTGTAGCTATTGCCCTCAACAGCCAGTATTATGAAAACACTAGCTTAAATATGTAGTAAGTGATAACAAGCTTGAAAGCCCTTTAACTATTCCCAAGAGGTGCCAGGTCATACTTAATAAAATCATCTTGATTGGGGCATACAAGGGAATGGCCTCCAATTCCTGCTACTGTAAAGCTCCCCAGGGGAGGGATGAGAGCCCATGGGACTTGCCCAGTGACCTGCAAAGGGGTGGGGAGAGCAGGGACAGGGAGGAAGGAAGATGGGCCCAGTCAAGCTGCAGCACAAGTGTGGAGGATGGGGAGAGAAGCAGCTGCAAAGATGCCGTGTGTGTGTGTGTGTGTGGTTAATAGAGCAGCAGGCAGCCGAGGTATTCTAACAGAGCTGCTTCTGAGAGAAGAGACAGAAAGCAGCTGCTAGAAACTAGCCAGCAGAGCAGGCCTGAGGCAGAGACTTACAGACACCCCTTGTTTTCTAAGCACCAGCACCAAGGCAGTAAGGTCAGGAGAACTCCTGTTTCTCAGGGCTCACTTGCTATCTGGCAGGATGGATGTGATGAGCTGGCCAGGGAAGCGGGGTGGGGGCTGTTTTGCTTTTTAACCCCTTGTATTAACCTAGCACTGTTTTTTGTGCATGGGCTTTGTGGAGGGAGAGCATCTCTGGGAGTGTTTGGGTAATGGGAGGAGGGTGAAGGTCTTGATGAAAGAGGCAAAGGGGAGATGGGGAGGCCAGCATTGCTAGGGGGAAGTGTGGTAGGTGATGTAGGCCAGGTCAAGACTGCAACAGCACAGGGATATGGAGGGTAAATAAAATCTGCAGACCTGTTTGGACAGGGGTCGGGCACCATGACTTACCACCTTGTGGTAGCCTGGAGGGGCACAGTCTGGGTAATGAGGTAAGAGAGAAGAAGGCTCTTGGCCCAAGCAGGAAGAATTGGATGGCTAAAGGCAGGAGAGAGAAGCAGTGTGGTTGACAGCTGTGGTGCATATGTGGGAGGAGTCCAAGGGACACCAAAAATGAGGTGAGGAGGAGGGAAAACAGACTGAGGTCAGGCCATGCTGTTGGCATGAGCTTTCAACAACTCTGTCCTGTTGGCTGAATGGTTGGACAGAAATGATAGGTGATGGGAGCAAGTGAGATCTGTTGTAAAGGGATGATGCCCTAGAAAGGGGAAAGAGGAAGAGTTGCTAAAGGAGACAGAAATAATAGCAGAACTAGGAGAACAAAATATCTGAGCACATGAACAAGGCAACAGCACAGGACACTGGAGAGGCACCTTGTCGGAGCAGGCAGCCCAGTGCAGTTACTTTCCCACTTAAGTCTGGGGGTGGAACTGGCCTGAGAGCTCAGGAAAAGCAGAGGGAGGATGAGTGTTGGCTCAGTGCCTGTAGGTCAGGCATCCCCTTGTGCTATGCTACTCTCCATTTGCAGTTTTTGCCTTTCTTTTATTCCACACCCCCTATCCCTCTAATTACTCGTAGTGCAAGGGCAGTACTGCCAGGCAGCACTGCTTCCATTACCACGACGCTTGCATCTGGGAAGAGGGGCAGTCCTGACTGACTCTCTCTCTCTGTTTGACTCCACAGGCTAACTCCTCACTATATTTATCCTCAAGCGATCATTCAGCCCAGCATGGTCATCCCTACCCCTGTGCAGTCTATCACGTCTCCCTACATAGACTACACCACTGCGAGCCAAGCCTATAGCCAGTACACCACAGCTGCCTACGACCAGTACCCCTACGCCGCCTCTCCCGCTGCTGGGTTTGTGGGATACGGCTACCCAAGCGCAGTCCAACCGCCCCTCACAGCGAGCAATCCAGCAGCACCCACCACCGCTTTTGTTCAGTATCAGCCCCAACAGCTGCAACCTGACCGCATGCAATAAGGGTCCAGCCCTGGCATCTACCACATAGGACAATCTTACCATGGAAGGATACAAAAAAAGCAAAAACAAAAAAACAAAAAAAACCCCAAAATAAACAAACAAACAAAAAAAAAAACCCAAGAAAAACAAAGGGAAAAAAGAATGAAAAGAAACGAAACCCTTTTAGGTGCGTATGAATACCTAAGCTATTTATAGTGTTAAGGGGGAACCTGAATCCTTGCAATCTGGCTACACTCATGAAGAAGGACTTCCGGTAAGTTTGGACATAGATCATCTTGAAGACGTACTTTAAAGTCTCTGAAACGTTAGAAGGAAAACTACAGTTTCTTGCACACTTAGTGGTCTGCTTCCATCGTCTGTCGTCTCCTCATCCCCTCACCTGATCCTCTCCCATCCATCAGTTATCCCCACCCCAGCTCCGTTTGCCACCATCAGACCTGCAGTCCTCTTCTTTACTATCGAGGTACGCACAGTACTTGGAGAACAGTGGGGGGAGGGAAAGCGATCTTATTTTTTTGGTTGTACAAAAACTTTGTAATACTCAGAGATGCCTTACAGAAAAAAAGAAAAAGAAAACTATTTTTTAATATTTATTGCGATTTTATTCGCATGAGCTGTGAATTACAGACAGAAGAAGAAGAATAGTAAGTATCTGCCTTGTTTAATTCTCATTTTACTAAATTATTGTATGTAGGTAAAAGTTCCTAATTGCTGAATCACTTCAACATGCAAAAGGGAATATTGGCTTTGAGGAAAGCAGAATATTCCTTTAGTCGACGCACTGTAATATTTTCTTATTGTAATTGTTACTCTGTTAAGATTATCTCAAATTTAGGTATATTTTTAAAATGGGGGGGGGCAGGGGGAAAGAAACAACCAACCAAGAACACCGAACATATTGTCTACTTTGATAAATCTTTTGTTATAATGCTGCAATTTATGGAGACATTTACAGTATTTATGTAAATCTAGAGTTTTCAGGCTGTTGTCTGGTAAAACTAAGGAGAATGTCAGGAATGGATTAAAAAAAAAAAAAAAGCTGTTAGATACTGAACAAATGGGCGGACATAACACTTTTATACATATGGTACAACAGCCAAATAAAGAAAGGAAAACAGACGACGCAAGTCAAGTGCATTTTTACAAAGAGCAATAAACTAGTTTGACTTTTATTCAATGCTACATTGTATGTTCTAGCCAAATAAACGTGGTATTAAGGACAGAATGAATTTGGCCTGAATTGGATACACTGGTCTTGTAATTGTTATAGCTGTGCTGGGCCAGATCCTAAGAGCTTCTGAACCACCTGCAGTCCCTTTGGCATTTCTCAGAATTTAAAGAGCAGCTTCCAATAACTTTCACTGCAGCCACATGCCTGTGAAAGGGACTTGGCTCTCACCTACTTTTTGCACTCCTGTGTATTACCTATTTGCACTAATGCAGAGTGGATTCAAAGCACTACCATTCTGATTTGGTAGCCTTTCCCTATGCCCTGGTGCAAAATGGTGATGCAGGATGAGAGCGAATGGCAAAGAATGCTAGATCGGACAAATACAATCCTGGCAGGACTTTCATGGTATCGCAAAGAAACCAAACAGAATTTTCCTTCTGTTATTATTTAAAAAAAACTCCTCTCTTGAAAGCCGAATCCATCCAAAAGTGTGATCTGCCAAAATTCTGTCAAGGGTGAGGGCTGGGTTTCCAAGAGGTTCTTCGTTGGCTGGGCTGTGGACATGCCGGAATTGGTGCTGGCCTCATGGCATGGTGGCTTCTAGAGCCCTGGGCCTCCTTTGCACTGGTCATCTCGTTCCATTTTATTTTTCCCTTTTGAGTTTCTTTAAATTTGGTTTTCAATTTTTGACTCTTGAAAAGAGAGTCCTAAAATATATGTTTTTAAAAGTAAATAAAAATAATCTATTTAAAGATGTTAATTTTCTATTCCATCTCTGTAACACATGGAAGAAATGATTGTTTCTAACCTTGGGTGGTTGAGGGGGTGGGAGGAGGTTCCCTGCCAGTCATTGAGGAGCTCAGGCTAAATAATGCAGGTTAAAGTGATGGTGATAGTGGTGATGATGTAGTCTAAGTCTTATGTGCAAAAGAGATGACTGTCAGACACAGACACTACTGGTTTTGGTCATGCTTACCGTTGCGAATAAAATCCCATGGCCAAGAACCATTTTTCTTTCCTTTTTTTCTCTCTCTCTCTCTCTGTAATTGCTCTCTGGGTAAAGTGCTAGACCTGTCGAAGTTGCATCAGTGGAGCATCCTGGCCTGAGAAATCACTAGCTTTAAAGTACTATAAGCAGAGCAGGTTATTCAGAAATATTTCTCTTCCACAAGCTTTTAAAGCTTTTGGTGGACCATAAAGGCTAAATGCACTGTGAACTTCAGGCAAAGAAAAATATTCATTTGTAGGACTTGCCAACATTCCTTCTTCCTTACACAGGCAAAGCTCCCATTTAACTAGATATTAGTAATGCCGAATGTATTCTGTTTGTCTTCACCTAAGACCTGTTCTCACTTGAGTCAATAAGAAGACCGAGGCCACTAAAGATTAATTTGTAGGTGAAAAATGAGCCCAGACCACATTAAAAATAAAAGAGGGAAAGAGAAGATTTTCCATTTAGCTGTCTCTAATTTCCTGAAGGGTGGCCAGAACTGACAGGAAGAGATGGCTACAAGGAAAAGCTAAATAGAATGCCTCTATTTCAATAGATATTCAGCCCATTATTATAAAATGAGATTCCTGGATTCAGGTCAACTTTTGCTCTGGCTTTTTTCTAGAACCGGCCACATCAAAACAATAGTCAAACCTGCTGGCTTCCTGTTTGGGAAAACCCAACTGTGAAATTGTGGCTCAGTGGAATAATAATGAAATCCACTGTCGAGCTTTCCAGGTGGAAATGGATTTGTGAGAGACAATGGCAAGTGAAACGTTAGCCTTCAGCAAGAGAACAAAACCTGTCCTTCACCCAGCGCTAGGTTAGAGCACTGAAAAAGGGCCCCTTGGAGCATAGGAGGCAGAGGCGGAGCCCATTGAAAAAGCAGTTCACTGATGGTGGCATAAGAATAAGAAACTCCAGCCTTGCCTTCTTTAGTGCTGAAGTGTCATGCAGAGAGAAACTCCCTCCCCTTGCAAAATCCTGAATGATTGGTGTTGTCCACATCATGATTTTTTTTTTTTTTCCTTCCCTCTCCCACCCTCCTCTTCCTTCGGCTTGATATTGCCACCGTGCAGTGTAAGATTAGAACTAGTGCAACCCCGCATGTGCCTGGCGGAGCAGTGGCTTTCTCTGAGTGAGGAGGGTTGTGTTGTATAACAGAAGCTGCTATGTGTGTAGCTTAGTGAGAGCATGTACCACTTCCTGGAGAATGACTAGGAGGATGGTGTGTCAAACCAAGGTATCTTAAAAGCTTTAAGACTTGCAGGTGCATCTGTTTACCAGACCCTGAACAGCTGTTTGAGACGGCAAAAAGCTCTACTGTTCCTCTCCCAGCTGGGAGATTGATAGTATATATACTAGGCGGGTGTTTGCAATGCTGGCTTGCTAAGGGAGTAGGCCGGGATGCTTCTAAATTTAATGGCACTCTCAAAATGGTAGAGACTGGTTGGACGCAGGAGGTATGGATGGGGTGAGAAGAGGACAGTGGGAATGGCATTTGTGGAGGGATCTTGAGGTGATCCCATTTGCCTGATGCAGCATGGGGAAGTTCATTCTCAGACCAAAGGGGTGCTGCTGGAGGTTGAGCATTAAAGCAAGCTGCATGCTTCACTCATATTTTCCTTTTGGCCTTGCCTGATGTCTGAGCCCTGTACTAGTGATTGGTGATACTGTCCTTTGCTCCCACTGCCAGTTCACTGTTCAGTCAGGGGAACATTAGAGGCCTAATCATTTACAAAAAAAAAAAAAAACAACGCGTGCTCTTCCATGTCCCCTCTTTTTTTGGAAATGTGCAACCTCATAGGGGTGAGCTTTGGAGCATGAGGGTGGTTTAGAACAGCCAGTTCTCCCTTCGGGCAGGGGGCTTGACTAAATGACCCTTGATTCTCCTTCCAACCTCGTGAATCTGGGCCATGCATGCAACAGTTTCTTACAGGTGTTGGACGAGGGGCAGGATTGTGTGATGAAGTCTTAAATACTCAGATTCTTTGAAGTAGGATGCCATGAATCATTCAAAAAGTTTAAAAGGAGCTCCTACTTGGATAGTGGGAGGGAAGGACGTGGCACTCTCTCTCTCTCTCTCTCTCTGCCAACACTGGGAGTGATGAGGCACAGTATGAGAGCTGGGCCAGGGTACCAGATTCCAGCTTTGGGCTGAGCACTACAAAACTCTCATCACTTTTCCCTTGAGAGTTCAGCCCCTGTGTTGGAGCCCTGTTGTTCAGGTGAGAGTTGTGCTAGTTGGAGGCTTCACCCCCACCAAGCTCAAAGCCTGTAGGACTTCCTCCGTACTCGGGCAGGAAAGCACCGTACCCTTTTCCCTCCCACACAGAAACTGTGAGGGCAAAGTGGGGAGCAGATTTGCTGCTACATAGCATTTGCCTGATGATGGATGCCTAGTGGGGAGGGGGCCTGAAGTCACCACTGGGCTAGACGGGTCTGCGTGTCGTTATCTGGTTAAGGCACTTGTGGAGACTAAATGTTTCCTGTTCAGGGGGAGGCCTTGGTTTGTGTTTCGTCCCAGTGACATTTTAGAGCGACTCCTGCAGGGAAATGAATAGCTCCCCTTGGCCCCCCCCCCAAGTGGCATATTAGAAATCTCCAGAGAGAGGACCAAGGTCCTAGCCTTCCTGCATTACCCAACTTCCTGGTTTGATTGTGTCATAAGCATCACAAAGTCA